AGCAGGAGCAAAAGAAAATAAGAACAAGTGAGTGGCCGAGTTGAGACTGGAATAGGCAGGTCTGAATTTCCTCTCCAGGTCCCCAGCTAATGTGGGAGGAAAAATTCTGAGGCAAGCTGAGGAAAGAGACTTGCTCACGACTCCTCATAACACAGGATCAAACAAACAAATACAAAATAAATTAACCCCAGTAATGAACACTGTGACACATATTTAGGATGGCAGGCTTTAGAATCTGACTGCCTGGGTTTGCATTCCAAATCCACACTTCTTGGTCTGTTATATTACCTCCAGACATCTGGGCTAATCTCCAGATGTCTCAGCTGAGCCTTTTTCGTTTGTAAAGTGCTAGTATCTTGCAAAGATTTATGAAGATTAAATGGGAAAATCCATGTAAAGCACTTAACACAGTGGCTAGCAGAAAGGAGCTCACTAAGTATGTTTTCTCATTGCTACCATGAGCTAAGATGTGATCTGAAGTGAGCTGAAATAAAAGACAAAGGGAAGAAGAAAACTACTCTGAATCAAACATAAGAACGGGTAAAACTATAAGCAGTTTCACTTGTCTTCATGTTTCCAAAAGTGGGGAATACGACTTGTATTAGGTCCTTGGAAAAGGTCATGACATATTTTTCTATGCAAAAATGTGTCTTCTGATGACCCAATTATTAAATCACACTTGCTTCTAATGTTTGGAAGCTTATCTCTTTTAACCCTTGCAAGAGACTGGAAGAGTCGGCTTCTCTGGAGATAAAGAGAGGTGGCTCTGACAGCTCTCCATCGCTCATTCCTGGACTCCCTCCTGAACCCAGAAGCAGAGGACAACCTCTGAGCATCGGCACCTAGTTAAAACTTACTAGCCATGTTTTGTTTTCATTTACTTATCTCTATGGCTGCTTTCTATTTATGGCAAGTAATACTGATTTTCTATTTTGAATACTGATATAATATTTCCTTCTAAAATAAATTCACGTAAGTGAAAACTTGACTTAAGATACGGAGTAAATAACAGTACAAGGAGAACACATACTTGGTGAAAATCCTAATGGTGGCTCCTAGGTGACCCATGCTGGAACACTCACAATTCTACAAGCTCAGAGATTATCTCCATTTTGTGGATGAGGCAAGTTCTGGTTTAGGCCCAAAGCAATGCAGTGTCCTATACTCAAGCCTTCAAAGCCATCTGCAAATTGTTTAAATCTAAACCAAATATTTGTCTAGCCTGGATATAAAAGAAATTGCAGATTTCGACTAGAAGAGGTAAATGCATTAGTCTTCCAACCCACCCCCCCGCCCCCCCCCGCCCCAGACCAGGTGTTACAGAAGAGATTTTTGACCAGAGCAAAGCAGAGCAATAGAGAAAAATAGAAAAGCAACATCAATCTGTCAATAAAGATACACAACCAAAGGGATAACTTGCACAGCACCAAGAAGACATTATATTTGTTCTTGCTTAAAGACAATAGTAAAGGCGATTTAGTTATATCCACTCCCTGGCCCCTCCCTGCATCCCTCCCTTCTCTACTCCCATGCCCTCCCCCTCTTCCCCAGCTAGACAGCAATGTGCTTCAGGACTGAGCAGGTTAGCAGCGTGAAGTGGAAATACTGTGAGATAGGAAGTAAAATTTTGGAAAGAAAAGCCTTTTCTGCAAACACATACTTGGGCGTCAGTTGAAGAAGTGGTTTTGTTTCTTTTGTTTTCAAGTTGCTAATGGTGAGGCTAGGAGTGAAAGTTTGAGGGCTGCACAAGTGAAGAATCCTGGAGAATCTCTTTGATCCCAAGCATGAGGACAAGCGGTTGCAGCATCCGTCATTATGACTGTCAAGACCATCTGGCAGACATGGCTGGGGTCACATGCCCTCCTCTCCCAGGAGCATCTTGACATTGCAGGCTTCCTGGAAGAGGATGGCCTTCTTAGAGAAAGGGCAAGGTATAGATCTCCTTCCTTGGGCAAGCTGTAAGTCTTCTCTTTCTGAGTCTTCCATACACATGCTATATGGATTTCTAGGACCCACAGATGTACGTAATGCCAGGCTAGCAGCTGTCCAAACAGAACAAATCTGGTTCTGTCCTGTAAATCGCCAAGGTGGACATGTGGTTCATCACCCACACCATCCCAGCCATAGTGCAAAAGATAACAAAGCATGCCTGTGAAGCTCTCTTCTGCAAAGCAGACCACTCTTGGTAGTGACAAGGGCTTCTCTTCCTACAGCTGCTGTCCTTTCCTTTCCCAGGGTGTCTGTAACCACAGACAGCAATCATGGGCTAGATCATGGAAGGGGGTCAGAATCCTGTTATATGGTAAAATCTCATTTCCTCACCTATGCTGTAATCTTTGAGTGCCTTTGAATCTCAGTTGTCCTTTAATATGGGAGACCTGTCACTGACAAAGAGTATTTTGTATAAACACATATGATTGCTAAGCTCCTAGAAGAAAAGCATTTCATAGAGAAGAACTCCTGCTGTATTTATGTTTGTGTGTATACATGTATGTTTCAAGTTGCAGATCCCTTCAGCATTGAAGGGCTTTAAACAAAGTTCACCAGCTGCCTTCAAGCATTAAGCGTACTCCTCCTCACTGCACACTGGCTCTCATTATCTCTGGTTAGTCCTTCTCTTAAGGTGCTTTGTCTTGGAAGAGAACAGGGACCATGTTCATACAGTATATGGAGAACTCTGGACCTCCAAATTCATTAATCTCTCTTTTACATGAAACAATGGAGGAGAAAACCAACCTTGAAAAGGAATGTTATCCTCAACACAGGAAGGATCTCATCAATATGTTGAGAAACTATGTTTAGTTTGCCTGGGACTATGGGCTTTTCTGGGTTGTAGCACCTTCAGTGCTAAAACCATATGGTTAGTTTCCCTAATTCTATGTGGGACCTGACCACCCCTTCTCACCGTATAGGGACAAACAGAAGAGGGAGGGCTGATGGGTTCTGCCTTCATGGATAAAATAGGGTTCAGGGGGTCATTGTGGCTTCTGAGCTCACTTAGAAGAAGGATCAACAGAGCAAGAAGGGCCAGGAGAACTAGGGAAGCCATATGCACCCCACCTTTCCTGTTCTCTTTGTCTCTCTGTAAGGATTAGCAAAAAAAATCCATTCAAGTGGGTTTTTATCAGCAGCAAAAGAAAGTCAGCTGAAAAAAATGTTCCTTTAGAGTCTCAACCTGTGGGATAATTTACTCCAAGAAAAAGGTAGTGAGAGTTGTGACATTGAAAGAGAAGCATCTTCTTGGGGGAGTTAAAGGGAATGAGATGCTGATTAAAAAAAAAAAAAAAAACACATGTAGGGACCAGCAGTTAGCGTAAAGGCTATGTCGCTGGACTCCCAAGTAGTCAACCACGGTTTGCGTCCCAGACCTGGTGGTTTAAACTCATGCCAGGCACGTGTGCATGTGTGCCCAAGATCCCGAGAGGAGAATAGAGGAGAAGGGATTGCGGCGGGTGTGGCCATCCCCCCCCTGGGGGGTGATTTCTCGCTTTTTATCTCTCTGTCTGTCTGGCGAACGCATGTGGCCTATAGCAAAAACCTCTCCAAAAAAAAGAAAAAAAAATGTAGAAAATGGAAGCCCCTGGAGCTTCATAAGCAAAGAGTCAATGAGTTCCAGGAAAGTTGGACTGCATTTGTGTTTTGGCCCAAGAGAGAAAACTTCCCTGCCTTAGAAGAGGTGCCACCTCAGCACAGGGCCCTAAATGCTCCCTAAAAGGTGTCTCATAAGAGCAACTCAGTTTCCCTCCCACACTCTAGGTTTAAGACCAAAATCAATCAGCGTTCCCTGGAAAGGAGGAAGGGTCCTCTTCCCATGGCCATGGAAGGAGAGTGAATCAAGATTTATGTAAACAAATGTCTTTATCTCCATCCAATATGCCAATAAGAAAATGGCACCTTTAAACACACGTATGTGTACACACACACATTACACACACATACCCCACACCAGCTGCAAAGGCGCCTTTTGGTAATAGATCTGAAGCCAAAACCTAAGCAGAGTCTCTCAAGTCTATCCCCAAGGAGAAAGAAAAGAAAAATACTCATGGTTATCAAACAAAACTCTTAAAGTACCTGTAAGTACTTCAGTCCTTCTAGATAGACATCTTGGCATAGATATCAAACTAACCTCAAACTATCAAATGAAAAGAGTTGTCTTTAATTCACCCTCCAAACACATGTCCAGAAATGGCCAGAATGGAGAGAAAAATAAAAAAATGTTTTGTTTAAACAGAAGACTGAGAGCAAGTGCTACAGCATAGTGGTTAAAAGAGTAGAATCCCACAGGGCTGATCATGATGTGAATTCTGGTCTTGGCAACTTGAAAAACACAACAGATGCAATGTGTGCCCAAAATGCCAACAGGATTAAGAAATGGAAGAGAAGAGATTGCGGCATGACCACACATCATTGTCGGGAGAGGGGGTTTGCTTTTTCTCTCTCTCTCTTTCTTTCTGTCACACTCTGGTGAATGTATGTGACATCTGGTAATTAAGAAAAAGAAGAAGAGGAAGAATGAAGGACCAGCAGTTAGCGTAATGGCTATGTCGCTGGGCTCCCATGTGGTCGACCACGGTTCAGGTCCCAGACCCGGTGGCTTAAACTCACGCCGAGCGTGTGTGCGTGTGTGCCCAAGATTCCGAGAGGAGAATGGAGGAGAAGGGATTGCGGCGTGGCCATCCCCCCTGGGGGGTGAGTTCTCACTTTCTCTCTATCTCTCTCTGTCTTTCTGGCCAGTGCACATGCCCTATAGCAAAAAAACTCTCCAAAAAAAAAAAAAAAAAAGAAGAAGAAAGAAAGGGGTGGGTAGGTGGCAGATCATTGTCTTCCAATATCAAAGAACTCTCAGAGGGAGCCAACTGCATGGCCCCAGGTGGAAGCTGAAGCTTTGACAGATCTATGTCCCAACAAAGGAAAGAATGTCCTTAAAATGAAAGCTTTTCCACAATTGAAGGGACTGCATTAAGAGGTAGTGAGCTCCTATCCCTGGAGATGTACAAGCAGAGACTGACCAACTTTCAAGGATGCAATGGAAGATACTATCCCAGGGTAGGAGGCTGGACCTGAAGATGCCTGAAGTTCATTCACAACTCTGAGATCCTTGGTGCTCTGGCCTCAGTCCTGCCCAACTCTGTCCTCCACATACTGTCCTGGGCCCTTGGCTCCCACTGCCTTATGCCTCACTGGTGGTAATGAGGATCAGGAGTGATGCAGGGTGTCCTGTTCATGCAAACATGAATGGGAATGACTGGATAATTTGAGCCACATGCTCAATCAGAAGCATGATTCCAGGGATTCTGGGTCATTGTGTATGGGCAGTTTCTCGAGTTCCTGGTGATGTCCACTGTGCAGAACTGTGTACCTAGGAAGGAAGAAAGAAGGCATAAGAATCAATAGCCACCTTCAACTGCACCAAGAACACTCCTTACACAATTGATTTCCTTTCTTTACACCCTTTGGAGGGTATGGTGAAGGGGAGAAGGATTGGGCAGTGCTCCACAGGTAGAGAACAAGGTACTGTACCCAGATTACTCACATTAAAGGTGGAAAAACTAAGCTCTGGAGAAAACAGCAGGCTAGGATTACACAGTATGTGACAGAATTAGGACTAGAACTTAGATTTCTTTCCTCTCAGCAAAGCCAGGGTCTTTGTGCTACTCATTAGAATGAATGCTACGTAGCATCTCAAGCTGTATTCAAACACGTTACGTTCCCTCTACCAGACTCAGTTTAGTTAGTGTTCAGCAATATGAGAGGGCTGAGATGAATGAACCACTCAGGGCCAGAAAAACAATGGAACTGTAATTTGTTTGATTCTTTTTGGTGCCATTTGGAACAGTAAATCAATTAGATGAATCAAACAGCAAGTTGACTCTAAGCATCTCAGTGAAATTTGCCACCCGACTAAGTGTTTATTGTTTTTCTGCAGTGTCACACAGTTGTGCTCAGTATGTTAATTGTCTTTAAATCCCTCTCAACTGCAGGCAGGCTCATTGTCAGTTACTCAGACCCCAGCATTTGGCAGCCATTCCTATGAACGCTCTAGAGGTGAGAAGGACCATCATCACTCAGTTCTCTGAGGTCAGTGTCAAGCCCATTTTGTGAGATAAACACCAGTCCACTATGTGGCATCGTATGTTGACAAAACGACTTACTGCTGGCTTCACAGGACTTACACTGATGCTATGTTTTGAATTATAATAATGTGGACTCATATGGACTAGTTTGTTTGTGAATTACTTCATTTAAATAATCCTAAGAGATGATATTATTTTCATTTTACAACTGAGTAAAATTATGTATAAATTTAGTGTCTTGACCCATAGACTAGAGATCATATGTGCAGAAGATAAACCTGGTCAAACCCACTGCTCTGGAGACCAATGCCTAGTGCTTAATTGGTTCTCACATGACCCATGCCTCCTGGACCAGGTACATGTGGTTCTCAACAGAGAGCATTTTGTCCCCTGGAGGACATTTGGGAGGTGTTTTTAGTTGTCATCAAAGGGGTGATACTTCTACATGGTGGGTAAGTTTCTATATTCTCAAAATGTCAGTTCTTCCTAACTTGACTGATAGATATAATCCCAACAAAAATTCCAGCAAACTATTTTGTGGGCATTGGCAAATTGATTCTAAAGTGTCTATGAAGAGGCAAAGACCTAAAGTAGGCAACTCAATATTGGAGAAAAAAGTGGAAGGCTGACACTGTCCAACTTCAAGAGTTACTGTAAAACTATGGTAAATAGAATAGTTTGGTATTGGCCAGAAAACAGACAAACAGACCAGTGGAACAGAACAGAGAGGCCAGAAATAGATTCACATAAATGTAGTCCATTTATCTCTGAAAAGGGAGCAAAGTCAGTACAATGGAGTAAAGGTAGTTTTGTCAATAACTGGTGCTGGAACAACTGGACATCCAAAAAGCAAGTCTAGACACAGATCTTACATCCTTCACAATTAGCTTAAAATGCATTATAGATCTACATGGAAGACATACAGCTAGAAAATTCCTAGAACATAGCGTAGGAAAAAATCCAGATGACTATTGGTCTGTGGCCAATTTTAGAAACAATATCAAAGGCACAATCCATAGAAGAAATAATTGATTAGCTGGACTTTATTAAACTTACAATTGCTACTCTGTAAGATACTTTTAAGAGAATAAAAATATAAGACAAACCTACCCTGGGAGAAAATATTTTTGAAAGAAAAACATACCTGATAAAGTCCAAAATATACAAAGAACTTTTAAATTTAATAATAAAAAATATGAACATCCTGGGACTGGCCTGGTAGCACAGTGGTTAAGCCCTTTTGTGCACAGGAAGCTAGATCCCAATGGCCAACTGAGGTTCTGATTCTAGCCTTTGCTGCTTGAAAAATGCCAGGGGCATATATGCATAAACCCCAAATCCTGATGAGAGGAAGAAATGGAGGAAAAATTATTGCCGTGTGACCACACTCTATTAAGGGTGCTTTCCTCTCATGCACGAGTGCATGTGCTCTCTTGTAATGGAAGATCAATAAATAAATTAACTAATTAACATCCTGATTTTTTTTTAAAAAGCCAAAGAAAGACTTCAAAGACATCTCATCAAAGAAGACACACAGACTGCAAAGAAGCATATGAAATATGACATAGTCCATATGTCATTAGAGAAATGCAAATGAAAATGAGATACCACTACATACCTTTTAAAACGACCAAATCTAGAATATTGATGATATCAAATGCTGCCAAGGATGTGGAGCAATGGGAACTCATTCATTGCTGATTGGAATGCAAAATGGTAAATCACTTTGAAAGGCAATTTGGTGGTTTATTTAAAACTAAACATACTCTTACCCTGCAACGCAACAACTGAGTTCCATGGTATTTATTCAAACGAGTTAAAACTAATGTCAACACAAAAGTTTTCACATCAATGTTTATAGCAGCTTTATTGCCAAAACTTGGAAGCAACCAAAATATTCTTCAATAGGTGAATGGATAAATAAACTGTAATTCATTTAACAATGGAAAATTATTTAGCACTAAAGGGAAATGAGTTATCGAGTCACCAAAAGACAGGGAGGAAACTAGGATGCATATGGCTAAGTAAAGTATGCCAATCTGAAAAGGCTACATACTGTATTATTCCAACTATGTGACTTTCTGGAAAAGGCAAAGCTGTGGAGGCAGCAAAAAGATAAGTGGTCATCAGAGGTTGGTGGGGTGGGGTGTCAGGAAAAGATGCAGAGCACAGAGAATTTTTAGGGTAATGAAACTATTCTGTAAAATGGTATAATGTTAAATACATTTGTTATATATATTTTAAATAATTATTTTATTTAACTATTTATTTATTTATTTATTTATTTATTTATTTTAATTTGAGCATAGAGGGACAGAGAGAAAGAGAGAGAAGGAAAGGGAGAAAGCAAATCACCAGGTCCAGGACTAAAACCATGGTTGGTCATGTGGGAGTCCAGAGTCCTTGACCACCAAGCCACCTGCTGGTCCCAGTTGTTATACATCTCTACAAACACAGAATGTATAATATGACACCCCAAGTGAATGCTAACATAACTATGGACTCTGGATGACAATGATGTGTCAATGTTAAGTACATCAGTAGTAACAAGCATACCACTCTGATGGGGGATGTTAATAATGGCGGCAGCTACGCATGAAGAGGAGTGAGATGAATATATGAAATATCTGTACCTTCTGCTCAATTATCCTGAAACTCTTCTACAACTATAAAGCTAAGTTTTTAAATTAAAAATACCTTAACTTGGTCATAATCGATGTTTTAGAAGTATGAAAGAGTTCACCACTTGTGGAGGGTGATTTGAGACATGGGAGATAATCCAAATGAGAGAACCTTGAAAATCACAATGATACTGGGTGAATTCAGCCCCAGCACAGTGCTCATTTCCCACTGAACTTATAAAGGCCATGATAAGAGCAGGCTTCCAAAGCAGGTAAATAGCCCTGGATAGCATTTCAAAAATTAAGTAAAATAAAATAAACCTCCTATATAGTATGAATCTTTGGTCTATAGATCAATAGCAATCAAGGTTCAGAAGGAACCTTGGTCTTGGCAGGTCTTTGCCAACAGTTATGATACTCCCATGTGCACCCTCAATCTTGTCCAGCAACGAAAGAAAAGGAAAAAGAAAAGGACACTTAGGACATTCCGTATGAAGAAAAAAATGGACATACAGGCAGACTGAGAGCACAGTGACAGACTTACAGAGCACGTTCAGAGTTAGACAGGAACTGGTCTATTGCAGAAGAGCAGGAGGAAGCTGGAGACAGAGGAACAGCCACTTTTAGTTGAAACAGAAAACACCCACAGGTGAGGGAGAGCCAAGCAGAAGTTGGGGAAAAAAAAGAAAAAAAAAAAAAGGTTAATAGACATGTGATCTTAGCCTAAATGAGCATTCCAATATTCCTAAAGTGCTTTTAGGGGAAAATTAAAAGGTGAGAATAATTATTGCACAACATGGTTTTGCTCTACCATATATCTCAAAAACGTGTCTACACTACTCATTTGAATCTTGCCACAACTTGGCAGATTCACAGGGCATGTAACTACTTTCACTTCCCAAGTAAAGAAACATAAACTTTTCTTCTTTCTTCTTCAGCTGTTTTTCTATGATACGTTGAAAAATCTTGAAAAATATAATTGGCTATATGTGACCACTTTTTTCATACAGCCACCTCTGACTATCTCAAAATATTCCTCATCCCTCTTTCAAACAAACAGCACTGCTTCTATAATTCATTTGATAATATGAGCTGCCTCATAATAGCTCTTGTTCTAGTTTGTTAAATACACTGTATGTGCATTTGAATAGCATGTTTCCAGATAAGTTGCAAGCTTTCGGCGAGAGAGGAGCCAAGATTTATTTGTCCAGTGTAGTTGGATATTTCACTGACCACTGGATGAGTGATAGTGGTTGAGAGTCAACTCTCCAATATTGTAACCTCAGCTCCATCACTTCATAGCTTTGCAACCTTGGACCTCCATGTGGCTCAATTTCCATCTCTCTAATACAGAGACAATCGCAGAACCTCCCTCAGTGAGCAACAGTGAGTAAGAAATGAGGCAAGGCATGTTCGTCATGTACATATCATGCCTGACACAGTGCTCATAGATATGAGCTACTATTATTTTAGTCAAACTTGAAGTTAATTTCATAATTAAATGGTGATTTGGACTCCCAATTTTTTCATTCTTCAAGAGGTTCTCTCTATGGTTTCATTAGCCTGATGCTATGTCTTAGTATCCTTAACTAATGAAACTTGCTAAGTGTTAGCATCTACACGCCAGATCTATTTTATGAAATTTTCAATTTCGATAACTTATA